CTCTGACCAATGGGCTCTCTGTTCTTTCCCTAGTCAACGAAGATAAAGTCCGGGGTCTGACACGAGAACTGAAGCTTCAGGGGAAGAAGGTGAGCAGTTTAGAGGAAAATTTGAACAAAGGAAAAACATATTTGAAGTGGGTGTCCAACGAGAGAGACAAACTCCTTGATGGTCGACGAGAATTCGAGAGCGAAAGGAACGCGTGGGCCGAAGAGAAAGCGGGGATGGAGAAGGAATTTGAAGAAACTTGACTGGCTCGAGACAAGTACACTGATGCTTCCCAAGTTTTTGAAACCGATGTCTCTAACCTCAAAAACGAAATTGGGGACTTGAAAGCCAAACTTCATGCTGCCAAGATGGAGGCCTTAAAGAAATTTACTGCAGGTTTTGACGCGGCGACTGCACAGGTGAAGTTTCTCTACGCTGACTTGGATCTTGGAGGCGTCGGATACTTCAAAGAGATTATCGACGGGGAGTTGGTGGATCCCCCCGAGGATGATTAACTTCTTTGTTTAGGATTTTGTATTTTTTGTCAAGTCTTTGCGTTTTTTTGCTTGTTTTTTGGAACAATTGAGGTTTTTCTATTTTGAATCCGATATGAACTCTGCTCACCGTTTTTTGGTATAATTCGAGTGACTCGATGTACGCGGAGTAATCATCTAAGTAATCCTCCAAATTCCAACTCACAATCTAAATGTATGACTAGAAAAAAGGTGTTAAGATTTGCCTAAGTTAAAAAATTGACCCTTAGCATAACTAATCACCCAAATTTTCTAAGTTGAAAATCTTGGAACAAGGCCAATCAATGCCGATCGCCCAAATTCCGATTGAAAGAAAAAATGAAAAATCTTCTAAGTTAAATTTTTTGGGACAAAGTCCAATCACGGCAATCGTCTAAATTCCGATTGAAAGCAAAAATGAGAAATCTTCTAAGTTGAAATTTTGGGGCAAAGTCCAATCACGACAATCGCCCAAATTCCGATTGAAAGCAAAAATGATAAATCTTCTAAGTTGAAAATCTTGGAACAAGGCCAATCAATGCCAATCGCCCAAATTCCGATTGAAAGCAAAAATGAGAAATCTTCTAAGTTAAATTTTTTGGGACAAAGTCCAATCACGGCAATCGTCTAAATTCCGATTGAAAGCAAAAATGAGAAATCTTCTAAGTTGAAATTTTGGGGCAAAGTCCAATCACGACAATCGCCCAAATTCCGATTGAAAGCAAAAATGATAAATCTTCTAAGTTGAAAATCTTGGAACAAGGCCAATCAATGCCAATCGCCCAAATTCCGATTGAAAGCAAAAATGAGAAATCTTCTAAGTTAAATTTTTTGGGACAAAGTCCAATCACGGCAATCGTCTAAATTCCGATTGAAAGCAAAAATGAGAAATCTTCTAAGTTGAAATTTTGGGGCAAAGTCCAATCACGACAATCGCCCAAATTTCGATTGAAAGCAAAAATGAGAAATCTTCTAAGTTGAAAATCTTGGAACAAGGCCAATCAATGCCAACCGCCCAAATTCCGATTGAAAACAAAAATGAGAAATCTTCTAAGTTAAATTTTTTGGGACAAAGTCCAATCACGGCAATTGTCTAAATTCCGATTGAAAGCAAAAAATGAGAAATCTTCTAAGTTGAAATTTTGGGACAAGGCCAATCAATGCCAATCGCCCAAATTCCGATTGAAAACAAAATGACAAATTTTCTGAATTAAAAGTTGAACGTTAATGTAACTAATCGTCCGGATATCGACTTGAATAAAAGCAACAATTTTTCTAAGTTAAAAAGTTGAACCTTGATGGAACTGGTCGTCCAGAATGCCGACTTATTGGAACTGATCGTCCAAATGCCGACTTGAATAATGATAAAAATTTGTCTAAGTTAAAAATTGAATCTTGGTGGAACTAATCGTCCGAATGTCGACTTATTGGAACTGGTCGTCCAAATGCCAACTTGAATGAATGACAAAAATTTTCGAAGTTAAATTGGAATTCAACGCAACTAGTCTCCCATATACCGACTTAAAAGAATGACATTGGAATTCAATGTAACTAGTCGCCCAAATTCCGATTTCAAATAAAGTGAAGTCAAATTCTGACCCGTATAGTCAAGTAGAAAGTCTTTCAAGTTAACAATGAAACTTCATGAACCAGTCACCAAACTTCTGGCATGTTATAATTAAGATTTTCTTAATCCCTTTTCCTGAGACGATCGGTCGGTATCCGACTCATTATGATCAAATGGTAGGCCTTTCACAATAATACGACCGGCCAAACACCGCCTCTAAACAATGAGTGAACTTTCTCCAAGTTTAAATGAGATTTAACCATACGATCGGCCAAACGCCGACTCCAAATAATGGATGAAGATTTCTCCAAGCTTAAATGGAATTGAACCATACGATCGGCCAAACACCGACTTCCAAAATTCTGACTCGATCACCGAGTTGAAGAATGGATCTTCGAGTTTCAGTCTTCGAGTTATTTATACTTGCCCAGTCAGACTTTTACCGACAATCGCGAGTTTCAGTCTTCGAGTTATTTATACTCGCCCAGCTGGACTTTTACCGACAATCACGAGTTTCAGTCTTCGAGTTATTTATACTCGCCCAGCTGGACTCTTGCCGACAATCACGAGTTTTAGTATTTGAGTTATTTATACTCGCCCAGCCGGACTCTTGCCGACAATCACGAGTTTTAGTCTTCGAGTTATTTATACTCGCCCAGTCGGACTTTTGCCGACAATCACGAGTTTCAGTCTTCGAGTTATTTATACTCGCCCAGCCGGACTTTTTTCGACAATCACGAGTTTTAGTCTTCGAGTTATTTATACTCGCCCAGCCGGACTTTTTTCGACAATCACGAGTTTTAGTCTTCGAGTTATTTATACTCGCCCAGCCGGACTTTTTTCGACAATCACGAGTTTTAGTCTTCGAGTTATTTATACTCGCCCAGCCGGACTTTTTTCGACAATCACGAGTTTTAGTCTTCGAGTTATTTATACTCGCCCAGCCGGACTTTTGCCGACAATCACGAGTTTTAGTCTTTGAGTTATTTATACTCGCCCAGTTGGACTTTTGCCGATAATCACGAGTTTGGCACCTTTAAAATAAAACATGTTAAGAGTCATGGGAGAAAACAATGTGTTGACATTTATTGGAATTGAAAAAGGTGGTGCCTCATTAAAAACCTTCTCAGCAAAAAACCCCTCATATTTTTACGGGGAAAAAATACTGAGTTAGGAAAAGAGTGCACCTAATACAAATGGAAAGAAAAGTCTAGCTATAATAGAAGTGTAGATTTGCAGCGTTCCACGTTCTCGGTATCATTCCTCCATCCAAGGTTCTTAGTCGGTAAGCTCCTTTGCTGACAACGTCATCGATTTTATAAGGTCCGACCCATTTAGGCGACAGCTTGTTCCTCATCTGTGTTAGCTGAGCACGCTTCAAAACGAGGTCTCCTACAATAAAGTCTCTTGGGACGACCTTTGTGTTGTACTTGAAAGCTGCTATTCTCTGGGATGCTACTTGATTTATCCTTGCTCTCTCTCTTGTCTCTGCGATCAAGTCCAAATCAACTCGTCTTCCTTGGTCAGATTCCTCTTCTAAAAAGGCTGTAGTACGTACTGAAGGTTCCGCAATTTCGATCGGGATCATGGAGTCTGTTCCATACACTAGGTTGAAAGGAGTGTCCTGGGTCGATGAATGAACAGTTGTGTGGTATGACCATAGCACCCGGGGAAGCTCCTCCACCCATGAAGCACCTGAGTCTTGGACGCGCTTCTTCAAACCCGAGAGTATGACCTTGTTTGCCGACTCCGCTTGACCGTTAGATTGAGGGTGCTCAACAGAGGTGAATGTCATTCGGATGCCGATCTACCTACAGAAATCGCGAACTCTCGCACTTGCAAATTGTGTCCCATTGTCAGAAACTAGCACTTGGGGGACGCCATACCTGCACACCACATTCTTCCATAGAAACGCTCTAACCTTCTCTACTGAGATAGTTGCTATAGGCTCTGCCTCAATCCATTTGCTGAAGTAGTCCACATCCACTATCAAGAATTTCAACTGTCTCACAGCAATCGAAAATGGACCGAGAATATCAATACCCCATTTGTTGAATGGCCAAGGAGACAGGATCGAGGGGAGTCGTTCAGCCGGGGAGGGGGGCAGAGTTGCATGCCTTTGACATCCATCACATTTCTGAACCCAATTGACGCAGTCATTCCTCAGATTCGGCCAAAAGTAACCTGCCCTCGCAACTTTGTACACTAGAGCTCGTCCTCCGATATGGCTTCCACACATTCCGCCATGCACTTCGTCCATCACTCTTTGTGCTTGTGACTTGGTCAAACACCTTAAAAGGGGAGAGCTGAAACCTCTTCGATACAATCTTTCGTTGATGACCACGAACCTGGCTGACTCTCTCTGTATCAGTGACGCCTCCTTCTTATCTTCTAGCACCTCCCCCCGAGTCAAGTATGCAATGTACGGTCCCATCCATGAATCGAGCTCTTCTTGGATGAAAAGAACACTCCCCTGTGGAGTGTTGATGCTCGGCTGAGTCAAAGTTTCCTGGATGACTGACCGAGTGGCTCCTGGCTTCTTTGTGCTTGCGAGCTTGGAGAGCAGATCGACCCATGAATTTTGCTCTCTTGGAACGTGGTTAAGTGTGAACTCTCGGAAATTTTCCGACAGGAGTTTAACCTTTTCCAAATACTTGGCCAATTGAGGATCCTTCGCTTGGAAGGTTCCAGCCACTTGCCCGGTGATCAAGTGGGAGTCGCTTCTAGCTGATAAGCTTGTCGCCCCCATCTCCTTCGCCAAACTCATCCCTGCTAGCAACGCCTTATACTCGGCTTGGTTGTTGCTTGCTCGGAACTCGAACCGCAATGACTGCTCTAGTAGTATTCCCCCCGGGCCTTCCAAGACAATTCCAGCTCCATTTCCTCCTAGATTTGAAGCACCATCAACCGATAGAATCCACTGGGTTTCACCGACCGTGTGCTCCTCGGCCGGATGGGTCAACTCCATCAGGAAGTCAGCTAATGCTTGAGCTTTGCTTGCTCCTCTCGGCTCATACTTGATGGAGAATTCTGATAACTCGACCGACCACTTCATCATTCTGCCAGCCAGATCGAGTTTCTGCAGGACTTGACGAATCGAATAGTCCGTGCAGATTATCACCTCGTAGCTCTGAAAATAATGTCTCAGTTTCCTCGCAGTGACTAGTATTGCAAGGGCTAGCTTTTCAATCTTCTGGTACCTCGTCTCCGCTCCCTGTAAGACCCTACTTACAAAGTAGATAGGAGCTTGTGAACCTTCCCGCTCTTGTACAAGAACAAAACTAACTGCCCGGTCGGACGCCAATATATAGACCAGCAAAGGGAGGTTCAGTAGTGGTTTTGTTAGGATCGGCGGTGATGCAAGTGATCTCTTGAGTTCTGTGAAAGCTTCTTCACACTTGGTTGTCCAAGCAAAACGGTCATTCTTCTTTAGACATTGGAAAAGCGGCAACACCTTATCGGCCGATCTGGACAAAAATCGAGATAGCGACGCCATTCTTCCCGTTAGTTGTTGGACTTCCTTCACCGTGGACGGACTCCTCATGTTGATGATGGCCGAGCACTTGTCAGGGTTTGCTTCAATGCCGCGATGAGTCAGCAGGAAACTGAGGAACTTTCCCGCTTGGACACCGAAAGAGCACTTTTCGGGATTCAGTTTGAGCTGGTACTTGCCAATGGTGTCGAACATCTCCTGCAAGTCGTCAAAATGCCGACTGACGCTTTCCGACTTCACCACCATGTCGTCTACGTAAGCTTCCACGTTCCGACCTAGTTGATTTACAAGGACTTTGTCCATCAGTCGCTGATAGGTCGCCCCTGCGTTCTTTAGACCAAACGACATAACCCTGTAGCAGAAATTGGCTTGATCGGCTATGAAGGCGGTCTTGTCCTCGTTTGCGGGATGCATTCGGATTTGGTTGTACCCCGAGTAAGCATCCATGAAGCTCAGTAACTCGTATCCCGACGCCCCATCCACCAGGCAGTCTATGTTCGGCAGCGGGTATGAGTCTTTTGGGCAGGCCTTATTAAGGTCGGTGAAGTCCGTACACATTCTCCATTTCCCGCTGCTCTTGCGCACCATGACTACGTTCGCTAACCAAGTCGGATATTGGATTTCTTGGACATGTCCTGCCATCACCCAAATTCGTGTCTCTTCCGTGATCGCCCTTCGTTTTTCCTCGCCGAACTTCCTTCTCTTCTGGATCACGGCCTTCGCGCTAGGGTCTATAGCCAGCCTGTGGCACAAGAAGTCTGGATCAATGCCAGGCATGTCGCTAGAATGCCAGGCGAATGCCGACACGTTGTCTTTTAGAACTCCGACTAACTTCTCTTCGTCCTCAGGTGTTAAGGAGGTGCCTATCTTTACGTTTCTCCCTTCCATCATCTCCACTTCCTTGACATCTTCTGCGGGGGCGGGTCGGTGATCAAATTGTCCCATTCTAGGGTCTAGCTCGATGGAATGAATGTGTCTTTCAGCAGGTGCGGTATATAAACGTCTCCTCGCTTTCAAGCTATCTGAATAACACTTCCGGGCGACCTCCTGGTCCACCTTGAGGATTCTGACCTCTCCATTTGGTAACGGATACTTCACTTTCAGATGCGCAGTCGACACAATAGCCCCTAGTTTGTTCAACGTAGGCCTCCCGATGAGTATGTTGTAGGACGACTGAGCATTCACCACTAAGTACCGAATAGTCATCGTCTTCATCTGTGAGCCTTGACCGAAGATTGTTTCTAGATCGGCATACCCCTTAGCTATAACTTGATCTCCTGCGAATCCTACCAGGGTTCCTGCGTAAGGCACCAGTCGGTCATTGGGGATCTTCATTCCCACGAAAGCTTCCCAAAAAAGGATATCGGCTGAATTTCCCTAGTCAACCAGAACACGTTTCACATTATAGTCCATTACTATCGTCGAAATGACGATAGGATCGTCCTCGTGAGGAGCTACCCCTTTGTAGTCAGCGTCCGAGAAAGAAATTGTGGGATGCTGTGGTTGGCGGATCTCCGACACTCATAAGACAGAGCGCGTGTATCTTTTCTGGGCAGCCGAGGTGACGCCTCCTCCTGCAAATCCTCCCGTCACTGTATTGAAATCCCCATGGACTGCTTACTGATGGATCTCCGACGAACTTGCTGGGGTGTCCTTGGGGGGAGTTCTCTCTCTATGCCTATCCCTCCTTGTGTCGTCCTGTGTACGTCGGTGTCGCGTATCTGACGAGCCTTCTTCCTGTTTTCTCGCCACGAACTTTTTAAGGCGTCCCTCCTTGATCAAGCGTTCAATCTGCCTTCCCAGGACGAAGCAATTTTCCGTAGAGTGTCCGTGAGTCCTGTGAAACTCACACCAGTCGGTCTTGAAGGGACCCAATTGGCGCTCCGTCGCTGCTGGAAATTCGAACAATGCTGTGCTATTGACATCATGGAGTATCTGCCTCCTAGGGACGTTGAGCGGGGTGAACTTCTCCTCTTCGTTGGTACGTGTCCACTCGCCCCTTGGACGACTTCCCCGATCGGCCTGTCGGTAATTGCCCTCCTTCACGTTATAGCGGTCGCGTCGCTTATTCCAGTCCGAACGCGGTCGAAGATGTTTGCTGCTCTCCTTATTACTTCGTCCTGGCTCCTCTCGGCTCTCAGCAGCCCTTTTGTTAATCTGTCCTTCCTCCGTCTTGATATGACTTAGGGTGAAAGCCCTCACCTCCGACATCGTTTGACAGTTCGCTCTCTCCAGCGCGATGTCAAAGGCCCCGGACCTTAAGCCCTTCTAGAACGCGATGACCGCCATGCTCTCATCCAAGGATGCTATTCTCAAGGCGACTTCATTAAACCTTTGCAGAAAATCTTTCAGCGACTCTTCCCGCTGCTGCTTGAGGTCGAACAAGTCCGACGTGATCGGAGGCTTCTTCTTGTTAGCGGCAAATTGGGCCATGAAAAGCCGACTGAAAACATCAAAGTCGGTGATGGATCAGTCAGGGAGACCACTGAACCAATCGAGCGCCGCCTTTTTGAGTGTCCCCATAAACAATTTACAGCGGACTTCCATGCTCCCTCCACAGATTAGCATTTGAGCTCGGAAGTCTGTCAGATGCTGACTGGGATCCTGGGTTCCATCGAAAGGTTCCACCTGGGGTATCCGATGGTCCCTGGGGATGATCTCAGCTTCTATGGCTTCCGAGAAGGGTCAAAAATCCCTAGGGACTTCCATCATGACGTCTTCTTCCATCGTCCTGCTATCCTGGCCTGCATCTCATCCGCTCGTCTCCTGATCTCCTCATTTTCTCGTTCAATGGCCTCCTCTCTCTCCCTGGATCGCGCATTCTCCTCCCTTAAGCCATTGATCATGGCCATCATCTCCTCCATGGTTGGTGGTTGCGAGTTGTTGTTGTTATTGCCGCCTCTCGCCATGGTAAAGTGTAGGTTTTCTGTTTTTCTTGGGGCGTAGGAAAAGTTTCACCGTAGCCCCACAGTGGGCGCCAAAATGTTCCGGCCACGAGGTGCACTAGGGTTTTTTCCTAGGTCAAGCCTTAGAGCCAGAGCATTCAAGAGTGTAATCTACCCCCTGAACTCTAGGGTTTTGGTTTTTTATCGTCTCTCGTTCATGGGCCTCTTGGGCCCCGAGAATAAAGGGATCTCCTCAATCGTTCTTGTTTCGAGGGTGCGCGGCGAGTAAGGACTGGACTAGTCAGATTTTGACCGACTAGGCCCGTGCCGAAGCTGAAGTCGGGTAAAAGCCGGGTTCCCCCCTCATAGGCGAGTGGAGTCGAGCTAGGACCGAGTCGGCTCGCTCACCCAGGGTCCAGTCGGATAAACGCCGAGTGGCCCCCTGTATAGGCGACTGGAGTCGAGCTAGGACCTAGTCGGCTCGCGCAGAGGTGTCAACTCGTTTGTAGGCCGAGTGGTTTTGAGTCAAATAGAGGATCAGGTCGAATTTTGACCTGGACGGTATAGTAATATATATACTAAAATAGTATAATAAAATATTTACAACACAAGTTGCTAATCAAGCAACCAATAGAAACTAGTTATATATAACCAAAATATGCTACTATAAGGTAGCCTACAAAAAAATATCCATCTCCAGGAACCTCCTGTGGCCTCTAGCAGCTATCTCCCAGCCTATCCCTTCCCTACTCCCATACAACGTATGATCATCGTAGTCCAAACCACATGGAAACATGCAAGGGTAAGCTAGAGACAATAAACAACTCATAATAATTTAATATGCAATGCAACAACTATATAATCATTTTCGCATCTGACACATAAGACAAACAACATATATATTATACATCTTAACATCATTTCAACTTGATTCCACATATCAACGGTGTATCAACACTTCAACGCAACTACTGTACAAACCATTGGAACAGTTATCATATTCATCATAACAATAACCAACACATGTATTACACATCTCTCAACAACACATGTTTAAAAGAAACTTACAACATAACAACAATATCATCATCCTCAACAAGATCAACATACAACACAATCACTACTTTACAACACAACAACATATGTACAACTCATATAAAAAACAAATCAACTCATCAACAACTTATATGTCGTCACGCATTTCAACTCGGAGATCTTCAATAACTAAGGTTGAGCAGTCTAGGTGGCATAAACCCTACCGAATCTAGCGTTTGACCTATCTCAAACAGGTTAGGTATAGGACATCGTTAGGAACTCCTAAGAGAACCAGGTATAGACAACAATAGGCGATTACTCAGGTGTTCCACTTAGACTCGAAGGTCCAGTACTTCTGTCAGGACAGAAGGGTTTGGGTATGAGCCTGCCACGACCTTGGCTAGCATCACCAATCTGCATATGGAGTTAGCTCACCCACTGTCCTCCAAGTACCATGCATCCTCCAGTACCTAATCAAAGACTACATCTCTAACTAGATACCTTACTCAAATTGGTCATTCAACCATGACATGGATCGACTACTTCCATGCCACCCACACAGTACTAAGGGATCCAACTTTAAAACAACTTTCAACTTATCACCTTAGTACTATGTATCTCAACATAGGACATATATCTTTACCATATGTCCCCAACTGTTCAACTTTACAACAATAAGCACCATAACAACTTTACAACATTAAACATTTGGCCGCTTGTAATTGGTATAGCTCGGCCTGGCCCCTATACCGTGGTCACTTTGTAATTGGTATAGCTCGACCTTGCCCCTATATCGTGGTTGCTTTGTACACGTGTGCCTCAACCTTGCCCACACACGGGATCAACTAAGTCCTAGAGGAGAACAACACAACGTCTACTCCAAGGTACAACTTCCCAAGGAGGGTTTTTCAACAAATTGGGCTCTTAGAGCACCACAACTATCTCAATCCACACAATGGGGTGAGCAACTTCGAAAACATCTCCCCTAGTCCTAGTGATCAACAACTCATCATCACAGCTTAATCAGCTTATAACTCAACAACACAGCTCAACTCAACAACTTAAACAACGTACAACTTTTCAACTCATCATCTCAATCAACTTTCAACTTAAACAACATGGTATATCATCACAACAACTCATCAACGCTGTTTAACAACACATTTTAACAACACAACATCTCATTTCAACTTTAAACAACACAATCAACTCAACAGCTTATTAGCTCAACTCATAATTTATAACTCAATCATCATAAAATAATATCTTTTCAACACATGGCACAACATACAATTTTATAGCAACATACAACTCTTCTCTAACAACTTAACAACATAGTCTACTAATAACATCTATATAAATCACACACATCTACACACTTCACATTATGTTTCTCACAACTCACAATATTATCATCATGCACTTCACAACTTTCAACTATGTCATTTCATCATATTTCACAACATAAATATGTCCACACATAACATATAGAAACTTTATCAACTTAATTTCAACATGCTTCAACAATATCATAGATCAACACATAACTTGTAAACAACTTCACTATACTCAACATGCATCTCTTCATTTCACTTTCTACTCATCATACATCTCAATGTAATTATACAACTCCATATGAGTTCCTAAACTCACATACAATCTAGCTTCCCTTACCTGAAGATTGGCTCAGAATAGCCAAGAACTTGAGAAAAAGTAGAATTTCCTTTCCGAAGCTCAACCCGGAACTTCAATCCACCCAAAGCAAGCTTCCTAGTCTAGAGTCCTTCTCTCTAAAACTTCTATCTAAACTCCTCTCATTCTCCTCAACTACACAACCTCAATTTATAGAAGTTTGAAGTGGCCAGAACGGCCCGTTTCAAATCAGGAACGACCCGTTCTGGGCTCCTTCATCATGTGTAAAATTCACATGTAGAATAGCCCGTTCTAAAACCGGAACGACCCATTCTGGAGTTGAATTTAACTCACAATGACCATTTTGGAATGGCCCGTTCTTGTCCAAGATTCATAGGCCTATTTAGTAGTTTGGAACGGTCCGTTCCAGGCTACTAAATCACCCATGGCCTTCTAAAATACTTACTACGTTTGGACAATTTCACTGTTTGGGCTTCATTGGGCCAGTAATTCAAATTTTAATTAATTCTGATTCACTTGGTCTAATTTTTGCTTATCAATTATTTTCAGATTAATTGTGGAGCATTCTCGGGCTTGGATATTATTTTTGGACTTCAAGAGATAAAGTGCCACGTAAGCACCAAGTCAGCACCAACTTGCCACATCAGTGCCACATCAGCCACACACTTACATTTTTGTTTACCTTGTTTTAGTCTTTTTTGGGCCAGACAGATGGGAAGGAGGCCCACTTTGTTTTAGGGTTTTGTCCATGTGTCTTTTAGG